GAAAAACGATGGTTGTTACCAAGTGGCTGAATAGGACTACAGAAGTTGTGGAGGTCGTTGTACGTCATTACGCTGAACACGTAAACATTCCTCTAAGTTTGTTTGCCCTGTTCTGCTTGAAAGCAAGTACCTGCCTCCTGCAGACTGTTCAAACAAACACTTCAACTCGTACCATTTAGAATCTGTATGTTTGAATATGGATCTTAAGTTGGCGTGACGTTGAAGCAGCGACCCNGGATTTTGGAAAATATCTGGAAATAAGGTCTGTGGTTGAGACACATTGAAGAGACGAATCACGTTTTGTTCTACGACATTAAATCCATCAGCAGTGACCGGGTCACTGCTGATGGATTTAATGTCGTAGAACAAAACGTGATTCGTCTCTTCAATGTGTCTCAACCACAGACCTTATTTCCAGATATTTTCCAAAATCCTATGGAGAGATCCCTTTGCTTTTTTGTCGAAGGAACCGGAAGTGGTAAAATGCTAACTTCCGGGTTTTAGGACACGTCACAGTGGCACTCTATGGGAGTCAATATTAGCCGTGACGTCTATCCTAGAAATGCCGCTTATGTAGACCATTTAAACAGACTGTTCGTTATTGAATTACACTTTCATAAGACGACCATGTCTGTAAATAAATAGAATAAAGTTACAAAACTTTTCTAGCACTGCGTCATTCGATCTCCAGGGTAAATATTACAGCGACTACTTGGTAGATCTGAGAGTCTTTAATGATGTTTTGCAATGTTATCCATCTTATTTCAGTAGTAGATGTTTTGCATGGATTGAACTGAACAGCCTATAGAGTGGCGAAGTCCCTCCCTTTCCGGTGGAGCTCCATGGGACATTATTTCGGAAAAAGTATGTATTGAAGTCAATGGAGAGAGAAAGATTATCTTTCGATCCCGTTTGAATTGTGCCACGAATTACACATATGATGTTTGTCAATTTAAAAGATAATTTTGCAAGTTAAAAAAATAAAACTGTGAAGTAACACTTTTTTTTGTGTGAAACCGCTCAATGAACTACATCTCACAAGGGGAGTTAGTCGGTTCCGTAAGAGCCAGCATGCGGGACCGGGATTTGTAGTCTTTCTAGTTGCGTATTTTTCATAGTCTTATATTTCAACAGTTTTACGATAAACTATGACTTTTTTGACATGGAAATTATTTTTTAAGATTGACAAACATATGTGTAATTCATGGCACAATTCAAACGGGATCAAAAGATAATCTTTCTCTCCATTGACTTCAATACATACTTTTTCTGAAATAAGGTCCCATGGGTCGGAAGTAGATGGGCGGGACTTCGCCTCTCTATTTACCAATATGCTTGCTGTGGCTTCTACATGTTTATAAAGCAACATGTTGAAAATCAATGATCAGAGTTTTTGTTGTTGACTTCATCATTGGTACCTTTTCAAACGCAGGTGGAGGGTTTTTTCCTCTACACAGATTAGACAGAGCCCACACTGCGTTCCTAGTCATGGTCAATCTAGTGGATTTGGTCAGAAGCCTGAAATGACAAAGGAGAGCAAAACTCATGAGAGGATCAGAAATATGCGAAACACAGGTAGGAAACTCAGGGCCTGAAACACTACAGAGGCAAAGAGGATGGACTTGCATTAATAATGGTGGAAGAATGTCGCAGTTCAGCACGTAGTCTCTGCACACCGCACTGTCCCCTGCAATATTACCCAAGGCCCAAACAGCCTGCAGGAAGAAATAACATTAGGTATAAGAGAATAGAACAAACAAACACAAGCCAAGATGGACATGACACATCTTACCACACACTGTGGGTTACCTGTTCTTGGACATCTTCAAAGTCTGAGTTCAGTAGTTCGATGAAGATTGGCACCGCTCCGGCCGCAATCACAGTCTTCGTCTGCATGGATGTGCCGGATGCTATGTTGGTCAGTGCCCACGCTGCCTCAAACTGCAGGGCAAACAATGATGCAGGAAAATCAGATGACATTTCAAATATACTTTACCACGAAGCCTGAACAGAGAAAATCGTGTTAGGTCAACAAACGATAAATTCTATTTCAGTTAGTGTTACTTTTCAAGCATTCGAAATAAGCGCTAACAACTCAATGCTCAGTGCAGAGCTGTAGAAATGATACAGTTAAAAACTAGTCTTTTATTCTACCCAAGTAAAAAATGCATTTTTTGACAACGTTACGAGCGAGCATGCCAGGGGACACAAATTGTATTATTTACACCTAAGGTACACAAGTTATGCATCGAGGATAGAGAGGCGAAGTCCCGCCCATCTACTGTATTGAAGTCAATGGAGAGAGAAAGATTATCTTTCCATCCCGTTTGAATTGTGCCACGAATTACACATATGATGTTTGTCAATCTTAAAAAATCATTTCCATGTCAAAAAAGTTTGTCGTAAAACTGTTGAAAT